CCCGTGGTGAGTCCTGACCACTTCATCTATCTATTTATCTACCATTGCAAACATCTTTTTTATGTTCCCAACTTTTCCATTACAAGATATGCTTGCGTTTTTCCACAGGGAAAGGTGCTTTTCCACTCATCTTTTATTGGACTTGTAATCTTTTTTCTTTGACAAAAACTCCTTATTCCTTGTAACACATAGCACAACAGTGAACTTGCTGGTATTTTGTGGAAGGGAATCGAACACAAACAAAGGAGAGAAAGGGCGAGAAACAAAATCTTGAAATTATTTTGTTACTGTTTTATTTTTTTATTAATACTAGTTTTTTTTTTTTTTTACTCTGTCTTACCTAGATTTATTCAGGTCAAGTTTTTTCCTTTTCGTAGGAAAATTTTCTCTCTTGATCACAACAATCCAAGAAACCAGTTAACCATCAATCATAATTATGCAGGATGTTGGAGGAATGATGATGAAGAAAACAAAGTTAAAATTAACGATGGCAATATGTTGGATACAAAATAGGTATCCTGACTAGTCCACCCATTAATTACCTTTTTAAATATTCTAATGGGTAATGGATTAAATATTAATAAAATAGTATTACCTATTTATGTTAATATATAATTTTCTCTTCGATCACAACAATCCAAGAAATCGAGTTAACCATCAGTCATAATTACGCGGGATGTTGGAGGAATGATGATGAAGAAAACAAAGTTGAAATTAGCGATGGCAATAGGCCGGATACAAAATAGGTACCACGACTAGTCCGCTCATTAATTACCTTTTTTAATATTCTAATGGGTAATTGACTAAATATTAGTAAAATAGTATTACCTATTTATGTTAATGGATAATTTTCTCTCCCAATAACAACAATCCAAGAAACCAATTATCCATCGGTCATAATTACGCGGGATGTTGGAGGAGTGATGATGAAGAAAACAAAGTTGAAATTAGCGATGGTAATAGGCCGGATACAAAATAGGTACCACGACTAGTCCACCCATTAATTACCTTTTTAAATATTCTAATGGGTAATTGACTAAATATTAGTAAAATAGTATTACCTATTTATGTTAATAGATAATTTATTCATGAATATAAATACTTTTTTTTACTTTATTGATACCCATCTTTTACCCATTAACATAAAAAAAATACTAAGAGATAAAATTTTAAAATAAACAAAGAAAAGAAAGAAAAAAACAACCAAAGCATTACAATTCAAAAATTACCGTAGTCGTAAGCTATATAAATGGAATGGCGATTTGCTCGAACCACCTCCTTATGGCAATTTATACTTTTACTCGCTTCGCATCTTTACGTGCTTTTTTAATTCTTCTTTATTGTTTGTAGAATCGAGTTTCGGGATCTTAATTATTAAATTTTTTTTGTGTGTGCTTTTTCTATTAACATTGTTCAAATCATGCAAATTTTATAGTTACAAAGCAATATGGGAACAATGCAAAATTTATCCATGAGTCAATTGTATTTGTAACAAAAGAAAAAAAAATTAAAAAAAAAAGTCTTCAAGTTAAGAAAAAAAAAAAAATAGGAGGTAAACAGGTATGGATCAGGATATCTTGTCATTAATAAATTTGAAACTAGCAAAACTCTCTAGTTGTTTAGTTAAATTTTTGTTAGTGTTTAACCCATCACTAATGAATTTTTTAATTTGACTAAAATTTGTAACGAAATTTATACTTTTATCTTGATTCAAATTAAGAAATTCAAAAAATCAAAATAAGTAAATTGTAATAGTCTCTCTTGAGGTATTATAAAATCATAAATATTCAAAAGTTAAAAAAAATATTACAAATGTTTTATTTTATATTCAAAATTTGCTTACTATCATATAGATAAATTTAAACCTATAAAATATTTTTATCTTTAATTTTTTAAGATTTTTATTTAAAATTTTGGAGATAATAACTGAATATATCTTCATCTTTTTTCTATTTTTTTATTTTTTAAAATATATTTATTTGAATTTGGTAAAAAAAAATTAAGATGAAAAGAAACAAATTGACACTTGTAACAATCTTGCTGAGTTAATGGTGCGATTTATATTGCTGAGGTAATGTTCCAATGTTACACTTTATTATTATTATTATTAATTCTTAAGCAATTTTTCATCTACTGGCTCTAGACGACCAGTCGTTATGGCCAATCTTAGCATTTTTCTTTTCCTTGTTTCTCTAGTGTTCCAACTAGCATTTGAATGTTGTGTGATTATAAAAAATGAAAGACATGAAATGAAAATACAAAAATCAAAATGAAATTTTTATTTCAATGCTAGGTTTAAAATAATATATATATAATTGAAATAAATTTTAAAATTTATTTTTAAAAATGAATAAGAATATTAATTAAAAAAATAATTTTATTAACTAAGATGGTAAATAAAAATAAGACAATATTTAATTTTCAGTTTAATTCTATTTTTTATTTTCATTTTTATTTCAACCAAATACCTACAAATTATTTTTATTTTTACAATTCCATTCTTTATTACCAAATACTACCTTATTGGTTAAGCAATTAGTGAAAAATGAAAAGTCAGTAAGGTATTCTTGACTGTAGAGTTCTGATCACGTTCCCATGGCTATCAGCCACAAACAGATGGCAAAAATTATCAATTTTTTTGGTCTCGTCTTATCCTATTTTACTACTAAATTTTAAATTATAGCAAAAAAAAAATGATAACTTATATAAAAAATAAATCCTCAAAATTAATAATCATAGATTTTATGTAGGATATAATTATAATTTTAATGAAAAAAAAAAAAACAAACGAGACGAGGTAGGTAAATCCCATTCCCGTCGTGTCCCTACTTGAGGGTCGCCTCGGCCTGCCCCATTTCTCAGTCAACGCAAGAAATTCCTGCATTGATCAAAAAAATCGATATAGGATGGGGCGAGGCTTTGTCGGGACAAAGTAAATTACCATCCCTAATTGCTATATCACATTCAAAGGACATAATTTTTCCACGTACAATATAGCATTTGTTTATAGCATATTGTCGCATCCTTCTTCGATTTGTATAAGCATTACATCAATTTATAAATTATAATCGCGGGAGCAGAGTTTTTAGAGTGCAGAAGACCAGAAGATCATTTTCGCATAAATAAAAGCCAGTTATAGAAAATATAAAAATCAATGGTCGTTGACATCACCACTTACGACCCTTTCGTTGCTTTAAAATCGCTTTGGGCTGCTAAATCTTGGATCAAGTGGCCTAGATAGGTTTGATCTTCTATCATAGGCATGACGAGGTCATTAAGTTGATATTTGATACATACTTGTATTGCCAAATCAGAGATTTTTATGAATGAAGGCAACATATAAATAAAATATATTATTTTAAAAAAAATCGTTTATATGATTTTTTTTTCATGTGAAGAGAAACACTAATAGTTAGTATTTGCTAAGCGCGCAGCTTACACTTATTCTAGAAAAGAAAATTTATTAATTTAAGACACAAATTTGCTAAATTTATTAAAGAACTAAAGCACATGATGGTAGCCATAGGTAGTAAAAAAGATATACAATTGAAATTAAGAAAAGTTGAATATCATGTTTGTATCTGCAAGGGTGATAATAAAATTAGATACACGAATTACACTTTCCTTTTTTATTGTTTTAGAAAATTCTACGTCATAGAACAACAATAAATAAGAAGAGCAAAACAGAACGGCAAATCTAAGAAACAAATTTGAAGAAATTGGAGCAAGTAATCTAACTTGTATGCATTATTGTTCAATTATTTATGTTGATGATTTGGATGCAGGGATGACAATGAGCCGAGTATAAAAGGAGTACTAATTTTACTAATTTAATAAATATTCATTAAAAATATCTAATATGTATTAAAATAGGTAAATGTAAAAAATATATATATATAGTTTCAAGGTATAGGTAATCACTCATTACTCTATTAATATCTATTAATTTAATAGATCTAATTGCATAAACATTAAAAATTCAGGGCCAAAATATTTTTCTTTCAAAAACTTTGACGATAAAAACATATAAAGAAATTACCAAAATTAAATTTTAAAGACCAAAAAAACTTTATTAAAAATTACAAGGATTAAAATAAAATAGTTTTGACAAATTATTTTTAGCTGCTATGATCCATATACCTGGTGCTAACTATTAATCTTAATCTAGGTTTCTCTGTGTTTAAGAAGCTGCTAATGCTATGGTCGGAGGATTTGGTTATTTAGTTGCTTGGTCTGTTGCTTATCCTGGCTTCAAGATCCTCTTTTTGTCTTGTACTCTGTATCTGGTGTTAGGAAGTCTTGGGCGGTAATGATGGTGCTTATTCGTTTCTGCAATTTTTCAGGAGTGGTGACTGGTGATCAATAAAGTAAAGGATTGCCCTCATAGCTACTCTTCTTGTTAAATGTTGAAAATTGTCCAAACTATAAAACTGTAGAGTTTAGAGACACAGTTTGGTAGGCTTAAATAGGAATACAAATTTACACTACCAATGATAATTCTCAAAATACTCACTTTGATGTCTTTCATATGCCTTGTTTTTTTTTTTTTTTTATGAAATATTGGCTTTTCGACTAAAAGGATTGTTCGCTTGTTGTCACAATGCAATAATATTACATAACTTATGTTTTCCTAAGTTGTTATTACTGCTAGCTGCTCTATGCACTACTTTTACGTGCGATTGTTTTGTTAGTTGCCTCTTGCTACACCAAAAAATGTCTCCTGAACCAAGGTTAAATGACCTTTCGTTCCCTACCCCTGCTATTCGATCCAAAAATGCATGAAAAATAGAAAAGGATAATCGTTCATAAAAGGCATCGGTACAAAGGAACAAGACAAACATTTTGCGCATTTCATTTCACTCCTGAGAAGCCATAGAGGAAGGAAAGCCAAAAAACGGAGATTTCCCACCATCAGTTCACAAGTGGACATTTTAGACATTTTCACTAATTCTCTTATTGCTAGTCCTAGTCCCATTCTGTCTGTAATGGGCCATGGCTAGGAGTTGGTCAGTCAACCTGAAACCGTCCTCTTCTACCCTTCGCAAAAGGTAGCAGAGCAGGTTTAACGTTGCTATCTAATTATAAAAATTGAGAGTGGTCATTTTTTTTTAACAATAAAAGAAAAAGAACGCAGTTCTATATTAATTATTGCTATCTACATCTTGTTGTTTAAATGATTAATAGATTGCAATATCACATTCAAATGACATAATTTTCCACTTGCAATGTAGTACTTGTTTTTGGATATTGTCGCGGGAGCAACAAGTTTATTTAGTGGACTTGTGGACGACTTGAGAAAGCTCTTAGCCACTTTTCTTCATGACATTGATTGATTCCAAATTCACAATGGACGACTTAATAGCTTTCAATAAAGTTTAAGTACGCGCTATTTTTATTTTATTTTTTAGAATGCAGAATACCAGAAGATGATGTTAGCATAATTAAAAGCGAGTTATATATAAAAATGAATATTTGTTGGTATTTACGATAACTGAGAAATAGAGAGATATTGAAGTGGCCATCACAGGCAAGAAAATTACTGGCATTATCTGCCTTCTCTGCTTGAATATTTGTTCCCCACGGCAGAAATAATGCAATCACTGACAGTCAACATGACCTGACATCCTCTTCACCTCTTCTGTCATTTTCCTCCTTCAATTCCAGATCCAACTTCCTCTCTAATCTCTCTCTGCCCTAAATCGTCACTCAACACAATTAGCCCGAGCTTCTCTCTTCTCCTTCGAACACCAAAGCTTACCCATTAGCCTCGTGTCGATATCAAATCCCTATCCCATTTTCGTTTTTTCTTTTCCTCTCTGCCTCCCCCTTATTCTGGTTTCCCTAGTTCATTCTGAGATCGAGCGATCTTGACACTGTAAATCCTGTTTCATAAACCTTATCTCGATCTCTCACCTTTTCACTTGAAAACTCGAACACAAAAATTAGTTCATTGCAACAAGTATCGATGTTCATAGTTTAAATAAATTCAACTCCGATAAGATGACTAAAAAACTTTTATTCTTCATTATTTATGAGGTTTATTACATCAAGACATATGTGCCTTAAATTATGTGTATTCATATTAAAGCTATGCTGCCTTTTGTAGAGTACTCCATGAAATTCTTAAAACATGCAGCGAATATTCAAAGGGCCTTTACTCATTCTTTGTTCTTATTTCTTGAGAAATGTTCATAATAAAAGTAATGCATCAAGCTACCTAGGATGTTTGAAAAGAGCTCTATACTCCTTAAAAGAGATTCAACTAATGATTATGTTGTGCTGCCTTTTGGAGTTATTAGGTCCCCATTCAGGCAAGCTGAAGCAAGCATGTAATAAATCAGTTGTAATTCATGTTGCTGGCCGAGATTAAAAATATTGGCATTAAGAGTTTCCATGCAAGGTTTAAGAGAACCTGATCAGTGCAAGGGCCTACTTCCCTCTTTATTCCCGTTCTTTAAAATCTGTCCTGGGATTTGACCAGCGCCAGCTTACCATAATTGGTGTTGCCAATGATGCTGGTGAGAATGTCGGGCTCATTCCTGGTATTGCTTGCAACAAGTTCCCTCCTTGGGTTATATATTCTCTTGATTGGTGCTTTTGCTGGCTTCTTTGGTTATGGTGTTCTTTGGCTTGCTGGTAGTCGTAAAATACAATCCATGCCTTATTGGCTGGTGAGTTCTCATATCTAACGCTTATTTCTAATTGTTAAATGACCTTTTGTGAAAATAATTGATGCCCATTTGCTGTTTTCATTGAATTGAGATTTATGTGAATTGTCTTCTTGTTATCTTTTCTGTCATGTGACTGGGTTTAGGTTGAAGGTAGAGTGGTCATTGCTTACATGGTTTAGGTGCTATTAAATTGATGTGGTTCATGTGAATTACACTGTTCTTAATTGGATTCGGATTGCAATCTTTTGTTTTTAATGATCAGCGAGTGGAATGATTTGACATTCTAAAGGTGTTTTGAAGAGAATTTTGATGAACTTAGTGGATAAAGTTCCAATAGATTTAGCTTTTCCGGCGTTGCTTGGAAGTGTGAGGAAATGTTCATGAAGCTTGTGGGGAAAAGCTGAAATGATACTTACAAGCAATTGGACAATTAAATAGAACTTCACACAATCTAATACTATTATGTCGGATCAGGATGAATAGCCAGGGAAACTTGGAGGAACAGTAAAGCAACTAAATGTTAAGAAATAATTAGGCACTATGAAAAGGATAACAATATTGAAATAAGAAGACAATATAGGAGCAAGATAAAGTTTAAATTTTTCTGTCATGTCTGGAAATACTAGAAGCTCTTCTTGTCATTGATATTTGGTTATTGGGTATAAATTATTAAAATGGTAAGTGTGTTTTTGTCTTTGTGCTGTTTTTTTATGGTGAACAATCATACCACAGTATGTAGTGGACTTTGCTCGTTATTCATTGTTTGGGTTATAAGTTTTAGTTAAGAAATTATGAATAATTAAAAATGTAAGATGAACTATGCCTCACAAATAATCACCTTGTTTCCTGAGAGAGTTCTAGAAATGCCAGACTTCGACTGTACGTAGGAGATCCTTGGCTGACTATTACTGGCAGTTTGGGGGTTAACTTAAATCAGTGCTAGTTCAGCAGTTAATGAGACTCTAGGACTTCTGTTCAGATAGTATTGACCTGATAAGTTGCACCTAGAAGCTGAAGAATTTGACAGTGGCAAATTAATTAGAAGAATTATTTGTGCTATCCATAAGTATCAAATTCTTTTCAACTATATCATGAAGTAATCAATTTCATCTCAAGAAAGGTTAGAGAAGAATGGATCAAGTGTAATCCTTTTTGATTGAAAACAAGTTTGTTTGCACAAGCAAGGATTCCTCTTCGCTGCTGAAAGAGCATCAGGCAGTCTTTTTGTGGCTAACTCAAAAATGGTAAAAAATGAGTTTGATACTACGATTTGAACACAATCTACTGCATCTCCACCCCCTGCACTTTTGTTATTGGAGTTCGAGATTCTCTACCTTTTTGTCTGGTAAAGTTAGCTTCATGTAAGGTTTTCTGCAAATTTGGATATAGTTACTGTCTCATGTGGTTTGCTCTGTGATTTGTCACAAACATTGTGTGCTCAGATACTTTAATGCTTATTTAATTACACCAAGTCTTCATCATCTTTATTTGGTTCGGTAGCATATGTGTCCATTGTGCTAACTTTTAAAATTTTCCAACAAAAGGACTAAAGTCATTTTTTTTTTTCACCTCACGGTATTGCAGCTATGGCTTGCGCTCTGTGTGTTGCTACCAATAGTGGTGCTTGGTTGAGCACAGCTGTTCTAGTAACCAACAGGAGAAACTCTCCTCTTAGTAGAGGCACTGTTGCTGGTATTCTAAAAGGCTACGGTGGAATCAGTGCTGCAGTATTTACTGAAATTTATAGTACTCTGCTCCGCAATTCCTCCTCTAAGCTTCTGATGTTTCTTGCACTTGGAATTCCTATTCTATGTTTCATAGTCATGTATTTTGTAAGAGCTTGTACTCCTGCTTCAGGTGAAGACTCTTAAGAACCTGCCCATTTTCTGTTCACTCAAGGAGCTCTTATTGTACTTGGGTTATATGTTCTAACAACCACAATGTTGGATCACATATTTCATTTCAGTGCTCTGATATCTAATACCTTTCTTGTAATAATGGTTGCCCTACTCATGGCTCCGTTTGCAATACCAGGGATGCATCACACGAGAGTCAGTAAACCAGGGATGCATCACCAGCCAATTGAGTCCTCAGACTGCATGATACTAGAAGACAATGCAGACAAAACCAAACCGGTGCTAAAATCATCTTCATCGACAACGGCCCTTGGTAGTTTTTAGGAAAACGATGAGGCATCTGAGGTGGCTATGCTTCTAGCTGAGGGTGAAGGGGCTATGAAGAAGAAGAGAAGGCCCAAAAGAGGGGAGGATTTCTGGCTTCTTTTCTTTGTATACTTTGTGGGTGTTGGATCTAGGGTAACAGTACTCAATAATCTAGCCCTAATAAACGATGATACTACAATCTTGTTGTCGCTCTTCAGCTTTTGCAATTTTGTGGGTGCCTTGGTGGGGGTACTGTGTGTGAACATTTTGTCAGGTTACTACACTCTTTCCTTTTTGGCTAATGATGAAGTTCATTACATATTTTTGTGTTGTAGAATCATGTACTGGAAATTTATTCTTTACAGGTCAAAAGCAATTCCTCAGACAATATGGATGACATGCACTCAATTCCTTGTTGAGCATTATTCTAACTATGAGGATAAGGCCTGTCCATGAGATGCTTTATGCTGGGGGTTCTTTCAGGCTGCCTCAAACTTCAAACCACTAAGCTGCTCAAGGTGGAGTATGATAAGTTGAGGCCATGGGAAGTCATTCTCCTGAAGCTAGAAGTATACAATACAATCCATTATTTTCTGTTTCTTTGAAAATGCACTTCAAAATTTCTTTGATAAATAAAACTGCCCACTGTGCCTCAAACTTCAAACCACTAAACTGTATGTAATGGTTTAGCTAAAATCTTGGTGTGTTTTTTGGGAATTGGAAAACAACCCAAGAAAATCAAGGAATTAGTGCCTCAAACTTCAAACCACTAAACTGTATGTAATAGTTTCAGATTGAATGAGTTTTTTTTTTCCTTACTCAATGCCACTCTCTTTTTCCGTATACCAAGAAATGATTTTCTTCATTACATTGCTACAAAGAACACAACTTTTCAGACATAATTTATACTATGGCCACAAATGGCTTATTAAATCTTCACATTGAAAAGTAGAAACAGTGCACATTTCAGATTTATTTACACCAAAGGCTTCCAACCTCTGATTCCAAATGGCTTAAGAAGGTTGTCCACGAGAAAGTAGTAGCAATTGTTGATGATCTCCTCAATGAAGTAAAACCATACCTGTCGCCAGCGTGGGTTTATGTACAAAACTGCAGCTATTCCCAACTGCACCATGATGTATGCCACACCAAAGCTAACATAGAAAATAAATGTATCTATGAAGCCACTTTCTTCTATGTTATCCGCTGAAGTCCTTGGCAGTGATGATGGAGCTTCTTCTTCTTGGGTGTAATGCTTTGAGAGTAGTGGTCCACAAAGAAAAGGATTTCCCTCATAGCTACTCTGGTTGAATGTTGAAAATTGTGCAACCATCTCAGGAGTTTTACCAGATAGGTTATTATGGGCAACACTGAAAGAGGCCAGAGAATGCATTTCTACAAGTTGAGGAGGGATTTTCCCTGTCAAATTGTTATTGGAAAGATCCAAGCTTTCAACTTGACTCAAGTTTGAAAAAGTTTGTGGAATTGGGCCTGTTAAATGGTTGTTGGACAGATTCAATGTATGGATGTGGTTAAGGTTTCCAATCTCCAGAGGAATGTCACCTGCCAAATTGTTGCAAGAGAGATCCATTCCAGACATGTACCTTAAAACACTTGGCGGGAAAGAATAGGATATACTCTTGGTTGTAATCTCTAAAGGTTCCTGAAGGTCAAATACAGCAGGATATGTTTCTTGTTGGACGAACCAAACACTGCTTCTAAATCTTAAGCAAGGTAGGATATGACCAGAAAAATTATTATGAGAAAGATCAAGGAAGCTCAACTCGTCCAACTTGCACAGTTGGAATGGTATTCTTCCTTCAAGATTATTATGACCAAGTAGAAGAAAACTCAATTTGGAAATCTCACCAATCCATTCTGGAATGCTACCACTCAATCCGTTATGGCTAAGATCCAATGTTACTAGCTCAAAGGAGTTTCGAAATGCATCTTCCAAATTTCCTTGTAATGTATTGTGTGACAAATAAAGATGAATGAGTGGCAAAAGCTAAAGCAAGATGGTAGAGTTCCAGAGATGTTGTTCTTTGACATATCCAAAATTCGAAGATGCAACATAGTGCCGATTGAAGAGGGAATGCTGCCAGATAAGTGATTTCCAGACATGAATAAAGAAGTTAAACTTGGAAAGTATGCTCCAATTTTTGTTGGAATGTGGTTGTTGAAATAATTGTGAGAAATACCTAATTTTGACAAATTCACATGAGGATGAATTGGCAATTGAAAAGGTCCAGAAAGAGAATTATTGGTCAAATAAAGTCGATTTAGGTTTGTGTTGTTGTCTAGCAACCAATTAGGAAACCCTCCCCGTAATTTCAAGTTAGAAAAATCAATTGTCTGCAGGTTGAATTGATAGAAAAGAAATTTGGGAAATGCTCCACCATGTCCATGGCTAGATAAATTTAGAAAAATCAATTGGAACTTTGGGACCAAATTATGTTCCTCTAATTCTTCTACATATATTTCGTTATTGTCACCAACGAAATACTTGAGTTTTGAATGGTTGAAAAAAGGATTCAATGAGATGGGAATCTGAAAGTGGTTGCCCGAAAGATCTAAGTATTGGAGAGATGTGAGACTAACAAGAGGAGATGAGGAAATATCTCCAGTAAAGTGATTGGAAGAGACATCTAAGAATTGAAGGGATGTCAAATTTGACAAACACCAAGGCAAGGTACCATTGAGATCATTAGCGTTGAGAAATAGAGTTTGCAGATGCTTTAACTTGCACAGGCCTGAAAAATGAGAATTATTAATTAATTTATTAAAAGTTTAGGTATTTGAAATAAAAAAAGATTACTCAGAGAAAGAGGGGGCATCAAATGGACTTGCCTTGGGTTGTAGGTATGGTGCCATTGAGTCCACAACCAATCAAGTACAAAGTCTTTAGAGTGGTAATCCTTCCGATTGTTTGTAGAAAGGTGTTATTGAGTGTAGAGGAAACCACAAACAATTCTTCCAAGTTCTTGAGAGAAAGCAAGGCTAAAATAGTCAAACGGACAAGAAATAGATCAACGAAAAGAAGTACCAGTCTTTAGGCATAAACTGTCTTAACTATAACTAGTGGTTATCTAGTAGTACCAATCTTTGAAAAAATAAAGAAAAAAATTAAGGGAAAATTATATTGTCCAAACCAACCACAAGAGATAAAAATCTAAAGAGAACTTTTTTTTTATTGGTTTGGACTAAATGTAGGAAAATTAAAAAAAAAATGTGCAAAAATCTATGATTGATTGTGAAGGATCTCAAAAAATAGTTATTAAAAATGGTTTCTTTACAACTAAATATTTATTTATTTGCAGTCAGTTACAAATGGTTTCTTTACAACTTAAATAATATTCTTTTATTCTCTAATATAACAAGAAATTTTTTTTATTGAAATTGTACTTAATTTTCATAACTAGAAAAATTATGGAATAATAATTAGCTAAATTATGAAATGATATGATAATTTTTTAAGGTTCATTTGGTGACTCTATTTAACAATTCGTAATCACTAATTGTTTATTATGAAATAAATAATATTTATTTTCTTTAAAAGTAGTCATATACTTTTTGAGTCGATCGTAATAACACAATAATATATTAGTAACAAGCATAATTACGAGATAATTAATTAAGTTATTGAGTGATAGGATAAATTATTACGGTACATAAATAAAAATATTTAATAATTTAAAATTTAAAATTTAAAATTATAATTTCTTGAAGTAACCATAGGGGTATCTAAATAAAAATAATTGAAGTATATTTACTCTATTGAGATGAAGTAAAAGTTTGTTTACTAATTATGGGTTGAGGTCAAACTGTCAAAAGACACATCATTGTATAACAAATCAATTGACAAAAAGTGGATGGAAGTAGTTGATTGAAAGTTTTTGATGCAATTAATGTATTTAAAAAAAATTAAAATCAATATACTCGATTAAGAAAAATTATAATATTAAGGTAATAGTAGTATAATTATTCCTATTTTTTTCCCCTCAAATAAGACAATCTTATGTCTCGTTACTATAACCAAGAGTTTTATGTGGTACAATCTTTTCAAAGGAAAAAAAAACAACAAAGAATACTAAAGAAATTAAAGCCTTCAATCTAATTATACCATCCAAATCAACATAAAGATACAATTTATAATTAAAGAAATAAGTTTTTTTAAAAAAAAAATCGAATTTGAAAATTATTGAAGAAAGAAGAAACATTATAATTTATTAGTAACTAAAGAAATAAATTGAACAATAGGAAATGATGCAAATAAATAAATAAATAAATCTAAAGAGATCATGTTAAAAAAGAAAAGTTTATTAATGAAGAAATGAATAATTAATCCTAAAACTTAGTCACCTTGAGCTAATATTGTTCCGTCAAAATGGTTCCATCCCAGAACAAGGCTCCTGAGGTTTGGAAATTTTGCCAATGATCGCAGTAATGAGAATGAAATGCTTCCTCCATTTGTGGTCATATTATATAAAGAAATGTAGCTTAGGTTTGGAAAACCTCTACTATCTGCAAGTGAGAAGAGAATAAAACAAGTTTTGATGCATTAAATCATGAAAACAATGAGGTAAAAAGTCACTAGCAATCATGTGAAAACTAATACCTTCCGAGAACACAAATTTGTCAATCTCATTTCCGTCTAGAACAACATTCGTTAAGTTGATCAAAGCATCCAATTCTAGGTTGCAGGGAAATAGAAATCTTTATATTAGGTCATATATAACAAAACCTTAATTAAGGCTTTTTTTTTAAGTAGAATGATTAATATGTGATTATATATATAAAGAACCTTTCATGTTGAATGATCCTTTCAGTTGGTTGTAAGATAGATCCAGATCTATAAGAGAGAAAAGATCCTTGATGGATGATAATATATTGTTATTGAAGCGATTTCCACTCAAGCAAAGATACTTCAAATTGCTCAGCTTCGGTAGTGCATCCCCATCTATAAAAAAGAAATTATATTAAAATTTCATGTGAAAAACAAGAAATTAGGATATTAGTGAAGTAAATTTGACTTATTTCTGAAAACAAATTAAAATAAATAACTCACTACTCTTCCATACTATGAAAAGATTTGAAGCCTTCAATTTCATTATCAGCGACATTCAACTCTTCCAGCCTTCTTAAGCGATGCAGTTCTGTTCATGCATATATATATATGAGTTAATTAGTATAAATTATACACGGTAAAAACAACAAAATGAGTTTTAATATCATGGTTTGTTTGAGCCATGAAAGGAGAGAAAAGTCAAATTACTCACGTACCTTCAATGTTAATTGATCCTTTAAGTCGATTTTTTGATAGATCTAATGATTTCAAAGATGAAAGAGCACTTAGAGATGTTAGAATGCTGTTGCTGAACTTGTTATAACTTAAATAGAGAGTCTCTAAATTGCCGAGTTTTGAAAGTCTTTCAAAGCCTGCATGACAATTAACATAAAAAGGTAATTCTGTCAGTTAATTTAACTAATGAACACTTATGTATTTTTAAATGTATTTCTACATATTTTAAATTTTGTGTATAATAATTTTAGTCAACCGACAAACCTTCATTCTCAACAGAGCCAAGTATGTTATTTCCACTCAAGTTAAGAGAGTTCAGTTCTTGGAAAGGAAGAAACAAAGTGGCATTTAAGTACCAATCCGCTAATCTCTTGTAGAGAAGATCGATTCGGACAACTCGCCCTGTAGTGGCATTGCAGAAAACTCCTTCCCAATTACAACAGTTGGCATATTTTCCCAGGGAGTAATGCTGGAATGATATGCCATTTGAGGAATAAAAGGAAGTTTTGATTTGCAAGAGAGCAATTCTCTCTTCCTCTAAACATCCTTCTGATAAAAGAAGGATCCCTATCACCACCACTACGAGAGACAATCTTCTTATTTCCATTTGGACTACAACTGCTTCTGCTTGAAAAAAATGGTAACCTCTCTTCGCATTTATAGGAGAGCGCAATGGACCATTCTGGGTTGCGGGTTCACAATGTGGTGGGCCCATCTTGTGGGGAAAAAAAAAAAAGAAATGTTCTCCGGCTTGTTGATCAATAGGTTCCGCGAAATTTTGCTCTTAGAACAATGTGAAATTTCTACAGTTAATTCTTTAATACATTTATTGAAGTAAAATGTTTTTAAATTTGAAATTTATTATAAATTTACTATCAAATGGTACTTAATTTTTAATTTAATTATAAAAAATAATGATGGTTGAATTTGAAATAAGAGTTCATTACTATATCAAAAAAATCTGAATAAAAAAACTTAGACCGTTATACTACACTCTAACAACAATTTCATTTATATATAATTATGATTATTGTTATTATTCTTGATGATCTGATTTTTTCTACAATAAAAAAGAAAATTCCTTTTTGTTTATTTCTATCTACTTCCATCAGCCACGTTGTTTGGATGATTAATGAATTGCACTATCACATTCAAATGGCATAGTTTTCCAATTACACGAAAGTCTTTTGTTTTTGGCAGCATGTTGTGGCACCCTTCGTGGAAATTGAATATAAGCATCACATCAATATATACATTATAATTGTGCGAACAAGAAGTTTATTTAGTGGTGAACCAATTAATTTGCTGCAAAAATATGTTTTTGAGCTTGGAATATGATATCTTATCATTAATAAATTTGAAGGCAACAAAACTCTCTAATTGTTTAGTTAAATTTTTAAATATAAATTTTTGTTAGTGTTTAAACCAACACTAATGAATTTTTTAATTTGACCTAAAATTTGCAACGAAATTTATATTTTTATTCTTAAATCAAATTTAAAAAATATATATATATATAATAAAAATAAATATATTATCATAATCTCTTTTGATATATTATAAAATTATAAATATTCAAAAGTTTAATAAGAATATATAATCAAAATAAAATTAAAATTTTGATTTTTAAAACGAATAAGAATGTTGATTAAAAAATAATTTCATCAAACTCAATAATAGTAAAAATAAAATCATATTTAATTTTTAGTTTAATTTTTTTTTCATTTTAATTCTCTTCAAACAAAGACTAATAAGATAAAAATAAAATTTTTATCATTTTATTTTCTATTACCAAACACTGCCTTGGTTAAGCAATTAGTGGAAGATGAAAATCAGTAACGTATTCTTGACTGTGGAGTTCTGATCACGTTCCCATGGCTAGCAGCCAAAAACAGAGACATTGCTTGCCATGAGAACACGTTGCCTATCGTGAGTCCTGACCACTTCATCTCTCCATTTGTCTATCACTGCAAACATCTTTTCCATGTTCACAACTTTTCCATTACCTGAAAGCTTGTGTTTTTCCACACGGGGAAGGACGCTTTTCCACTCATCTTTCATTGGACTTGTAATGTTTCTTTTTAAATTATTTGTTTCTTAAATAAATTTTACTCTTTCATAATTTGATCAAAAAATTTAAATACTACACAATACCATACCTATAAATCTTGAAACCATTTGATTTCTTTGATAGGTTTGCTTCTACAATTATATAAAATCTCTCAAATAGTAAAAAATAAAAAATAAAAAAGATATTTTGCTCGGATTTAAGACTAAAAAGGTTAAAAGATTATAAATGTTTTTAACAGTCTTTTATTTTCTTTAAAGATAAAAATTAATAAAATAAGATTTACCTATTCATCATCCTTTATGTTTATGCAATACGATTCATTTTAAATCATCAAAATTAATAAAATAAAAAAGAAAATTATGTATCATATTTAGGAAAAATAAATAAATTCCAATACAAATGCAAGCTTAAATTTGACTGTTTAAAAAATATAGACAATAGTTGTATAAACTAGTTTATTTGTTGGAAAATTAAAAGTTATAACTTATTGTTGGAAAATTAAGAGAGAGAGAGAGAGTATGTTTTAGATAGTTTGACTTAATCGAGATAAGTTAAAAATTTTAACTTATCATTTAAGTTATCAAACAAGATTTTTATATTAAGTAGTACAACTTAATTTTTTAAACTACTTAATGAGGTTATCAAACACCTCCTTGTTGATCATAATACCTCTTTCACATATACATAGTGGACCGAAAAAAAAAATGTCTAAAACATAAAAAATGAATACAACTTATTTTACTGTGTGAAGTATATACTTCCTCTTGCATAATAAAATAGTTACAAAAATCACCTGAAATAATTATTTTCTTCCATGTACTTTTCTGCTCTTTTTTTTTTCTCAAAAAAAAAAAAAAAAAGCTCATATACGTGCCTTCCAAGAGAAACATTTGAGATCCGCCAAAAAAAAATAAAAAAAAATTGATACTACAAATTAAGTAATTTAGAATTCTTCACTTTGATGTGTAATTTATTTGTTTTTAATCATAGAATTACTATTTTTTAGCTTAATTTTATAATTTAAGCATAGTTAATTAAAAATCGTAATATATTTTGTTAGTGGATCCATAAAAAAATAAAAAATAATATATTTTGTTTTTCCGCACGAAAGGACGCTTTTCCATTCATCTTTTATCTTCTTAAATCTTCGCATTTTTAGGAGAGAGCAGTTGACCATGGCGGGTTGCAGGTTAATAATATGGTGGGCCCATCTTGTGGAAAAAAGAGAAAGTATCTCCGACTTGTTGATCAGTAACTTCCATGAAATTTTGCTTTTAGAACAATGTGAAATTACGACAGTTAGTCAATGAATCATATGAAGTCAAAAATCTAAATTGTTAGGTGAAGGTGGTAACTGGTGAGGTTCAATGATAAAGGTTTTTTTTTTTTTTTTTTTGTCGTCTAAGCCTCAGCATACATAAATATCACTATTATCGATTTAGTTTTATGAATATCATTTTAGATTTGAAGCTTTATATAAATCTATTATCAAATGGTACTTGATTTTTAATTTTATTATAAGAATATTGATGGCTGGATTTCAAATAAAATTACGATATTATATTAAAAAAAATTTAAATTATTAAGTAAGTTTCAATGACATGGTTATATTATAGTATAACAATGAATTCATATATTATAATTATTGCTATTGTTGTAGATGATTTTTTTTTTTTTTTTACAATATGAAAGGAAATTCCTTATTGATTATTTCTATCTACATCTGCGAGACATGTTGTTTGGATGATTAATGGATTGCGCTATTACATTCAAATGGCATAATTTCCAATTACAAAAAGTCTTTTTGTTTTTGGCAGCATGTAGTCGCATCCTTCGTGGAAATTGAAAAGTATAAGCGTTACGTCAATATATACATTAAAATTGCGCGAACAAGAAGTTTGTTTAGTGGTTAACCAATTAATTTGTAAGCGAACTCTTCTGCAAACATATGTTTTTGAGCTGGGATGGGATACCTTATCATTAATAAATTTGAAAGCAGCAAAACTCTCTAGTTGTTTAGTTAAATTTTTAAATATAAATTTTTGTTATTGTTTAACCCAACACTAATGGATTTTTTAATTTGACTAAAATTTGTAACAAAATGTATATTTTTATCTTGAATCAATTAAGAAATTTATAAAATCAAAATAAGTAAATTGTAATAGTCCATCTTTGAGGTATTATAAAATTATAAACATTCAAAAGTTTTAAAAAATATTACATATGTTTCATTTTATGTTAAAAAATTACTTATTATCATATAAATAAATTTAAACTCATAAATAATATTTTGAATAAAAGATATTTTTTTCTTCTTGGTTTTTTAGTATTTTTTATGTAAATTTTTAGAAAGAATGACCAAATACTTATAAAATGAAAATAAAATTTTTATTTTGTCATGAAATAATGAATGTCTATTTTATATTATTTACTACTCATATGATTCAATTCATCATTCAATGTGAGAAATTGAAAGGACGATGCAATTTATTCAATTATTTATGCATCTTTTAATGGTTCATAATCCTTTTAAATTCTCTTCCTAATCTTGAAGCCGATAAATAGGCTTGATTGTTCATTAGTTTATGTACAAGTATTTTATAGAGATTCTTGTATTCACTTCATTTTATAGTGAATTCATTTTTCTATCACATTTCTCTTTAATTCTTCTATTTTTTCTATTTCTTTTATAACACATTATCAGCACGAAGCTCTAATCAATCGAGACGATAGACTACGATATATGTATCTACCAAAAGACTTAATCAATTGTTTCAACCATTAGATTTCTTCGATACAAGTGCTCTACCAAAAGATCTAAATTATTTAGATCATTAAGAGATGTGTATCTAATTTATCGTGTACTTTAAATATATACATAGAATATACATTTAAGAAAACTTAAATGATATGATTTAAAATATAGAATCTAATGATCTAATATATATTGTTTGAAAAGTTTAAATTTTATTATTATGTTTTTCTTTATTTAAATTTTACTATTATATTTTGTTTTTATTTCCTCATGTTATTATTATACTTTGTATAATAGAATTTTTATAATATCAAACCTCACAAAACTTGATTTTGTGAGCATTGGCATTTTGGGCAAGAATTATTGATCAAGAGTGCTTGATGTTGAGTAAATATTCTTTGTTTTCCATGTATTAAATATGCTCTTGCAGTATCATATCGAGAAAAAGAGTTTAAAAAATATTCGAATCGATTTCATATTTGCTCGTGGCTAAATAAAATAACAAGCTATTGATGAAAAAAAAATCTCATCCAATTGGATCTACTCCATTCCTTGAAGTGAATGTAACAATTTATAATAGTTTTAGGTACGGACGAAGATGCGATCATAGCCATGGCCGTGGTCGGAATAATTATCATTATAATCGTAATGACCATAATATTACATCTCACCGCTAGAATTGGATAAAAAAAAAAGATAAAGTTAGTACTCTGAAAATAAATGTTATAGATATGGTATGAATGGACATTAGTTGTGTACCTACCGTACACCAAAACACCTTATTAAGCCTTATCAAACCTTGTTGAAAAAGAAAATAGTAAAATATAGAGGCCAATTTTGTATATCAAAATGGAGGTAATTGAAATTAATAACTTATTAGTTTTTCTAT